ATACCAACACTTTACCGACCGGAAGCCTATATACCGACTGCCAACGCTTAGCGCTCTTTAATATTATCAATTTTAATTTCCCTATAATAAGAGAAAGCGGACGATATGATAAGCACTCTCGCGAAGTTTAATTTAAAATTTGTATAGCTGTAAGAATAAGCGCTTATATTCCCGCACGATAGTAAAGACGGAGCCCGAAAAGAGTTGAACAACGAGCGGTCGGTAAAGTGTTAAAAATTGAACTTTTATTAAATATTTTTCATTTTTATTTAACAAAAATTCGTTCCGAGCCAGAAACACCGAACTTTGCATTCCACTATTTTTTTATCAACGTAGAATGCAGTTTATATACAAATTGTTCTTAGTGTATACACTTTCAAAAATGTTTGGTGCCTTTTCGCTGACATGTAAAGCATCATTCCTCCCCTCTTACTTGTAACAAACTTGTTATGGTCGTTTTTCGTCTTTCTTGTATATATAACCATATAGACTGTATACATGTCTCAGAGATAAATCAGTCTTATCTGTTAAAGCACGGCTAGTGTTTCAAGAATAGCAGCGCTGTATGATTAACCACGAGATAGAAAAGGAATACGAGAAAACTTGGTATTGATAGACGATTGAGGAAGAACGTGAGTGAAAGGAAATTGATTTCTGGGGCGAAAAAGATCCATCGATAGCTGTGCAAGTGTTAACCCATTAGTGCTAAAATTTTCTTTCTTTTTTTCTAACGTTTTACTTTGAGCTACCGTTGAATTAAACTACTTCCTGAGAATGTAACATTATAAATTACTTCCTATTGCGTTATTTATAAGTGTAACAAAAATTTAAAATAAAAAAGGACGTTGAGTGTTAATGGGTTAATGAAGATTCTATGCGTTTACTCGTAAAAGACAAATGGCTGTAGTTCGTTCAACGAATCTTGCAATTGGCTCATTTTTCGACATGATCCTCTGCACACAATCATGCACTTGTCCATTCACTGTACTAGCTTTAGCATACCAGCAGCAAAGAATTCTCTGTTTTGTCGTTTGAGCCAGTTTTGCACATTTTGCAGATTGTGGAAGCTTGAGTCCACAAAAGTGGATCGAAACCAAAAGAAATCTCAAGGGAGGAGATCTCTAAACCTAATTTTCCTTAATTCTTCAATTCTTTCAATCTTTAAATTTATGATCCTTTGATTTTTCAATTCTTCAATTTATTTTTCAAATGTAAATTGAAGTAGTTGTCAATGCGAAATTATAACTTTGAAAGTATCCTACCTCTTATTTCGATACTTTTTGAACCAGAGCTCTTCGCCTCTTTACCTATCGAACGATCCTCGTCGTTTCTCTCAGATATTGGAAATGCCCTTTCGAGTGACCGACCGTATTTTTCCGTGAACTTTCCAGGACGCAGGCCGTGGAGGATACGACCAAGCGGATGACTTATCGAGAGATGAACATGCTTCTGCGACATGAAGGAGGCGAGGACGGGCTTCCAGTCGATTGCTGCCCTACGGTAGAGGAAATGGTGGAACCGGTCGGCGGTCGAAATCGGGAAAACATGTACGTCCAGCTGTATCGGGATGGCCAGAACGCCCAGAGGTTCTTCGAGTACTCCTGCAGGCCAGACGTCCTCGACAAGCCGTGCAGGTTCATCGACCGGAAGTTCAGTAACCAGTCCAGATGTGTGCAGAAGTTCTCGTACACTTACGCTATCATTGAAAATTCTGGATCGACGGTACGTGTTGTAAAATAAGCCCGATCATGATTTCATTAGACTTGGCTAGCACGCGCGTCTCTTCGTCCATTCGTCGTCGGGAGACACGTTCGTTAGGCGAACTCGTTTCTTCGACGATACAGTTATGAGATAGTGGCGAAGATTAAGAACGTTTTGCTTAGTTGGTAATATCTGAATTGGAGAATTTTTTTTTTTTAGATTTCTGGTGTTGCGAAATTTTGCACGGTGTTTTGAAATTTGGGTATCCTTGAAAATGACGTTCTTCACAGTCAGATTAAAGATTAAGGACGTTTTGCTTAGTTAGTAATATCTGGATTGAAGAATTTTTCTTAAATTTCTGGTGTTTCAAAATTTTGCACGGTGTTTTGAAATTTGGGTACTCCTGAAAATAAAGATTCTGATTTTCGCAGATTTCCACGGCTGCAAACTTTTGCACAGTGCTTCGGAATTTGGGTATTCCTGAAAATGAAGATTCTAATTTTTTTAGATTTCCACGGTTGCAAACTTTTGCACAGTGTCCTGAAATTTGGGTATTGAAAATTCCAACCTTTTTAGATTTCTACCGTTGCAAACTTTTGCAGTGTCCTGAAATTTGGGTATTGAAAATTCCAACTTTTTTAGATTTCTACCGTTGCAAACTTTTGCACAGTGTTTTGAAATTTGGATATTCCCAAAAATGAAGATATTAAATTTTTTAAATTTCCACGGTTGCAAACTTTTGCACAGTGTCCTGAAATTTTGGTATTAGGTATTGAAGATTCCAATTTTTTTAGATTTCTACGGTTGCAAACTTCTGCACGGTGTTCCAAAAACGAAGATTCTTAAAATTCAGATTGAAATATTGCGATTTTTGAATTAATTATAAGATTTATATTTAATACTGTTACCAATGGAAGTCATTCTTCGGAAAACTTCACGTTCACATCGTTACACTCTCATTCGCAACAAAGATGTTACGTCAAACCGTCACACCTATAAATCCTCTGTCTTTTTCCTCAGGGTGGAAAGGAAGAACACGGGAGGCATCGGCACAGAGAACGCCTAATCCCTACGTTCGCCGGGAACACGGTGGGTGGATCGATGTGGACGTTAGACTACATCAAAGTGCGAAGTGGGTGCAGCTGCGAGGTCATGCCGAAACCGAAGAAGAAGAAGAAGTACAAGAAGAGTAAGCCAAGGGACCACGACTTTGACCAGGAGACGTGAGATCTGCGTTTCCACGGAGTCTGGCCAAATCCTACCTCCAAGGTCGTGATACTACCGATGAAGAAAATTGCTCCGAGCAATAACCAACATCCGTCGAACTTGTACGATCCGACATAAATCAGGAAAAGAGAACAGACGAGAAAAGAACAAAGATTCGATTGTATCAGTCGGATTGTACAGGATTAAAATGTTACCAATAGAAGGGTTTTCTTCTAACGAGGATTGAAATGTTCATATTGTTAATGTTAAAAAAGAAAAGTACTCGTTTATTAATACTAAAAGTGCCTTGACGGAAGCTTGCATCGTTTCGGTATGATAAGGTAATTAAATACGATTCAGATTTTGTAGAGTCGGAGGTTCCGTCAAATTGTGTATTCCGTTTTATTTTTGATAAGATTGATATTTTTTAGATCGAGGTGAAATCAAATGTTGTAGTACAACGAAGTCAGTAGAATCTCCTTCGGATGGATAGATAGATGGATAGACTGATATTACGATTCGAGGAATGTGTTAGATATTTTTCTTCTTCTTCTTCTAAATTTTGTCACAAACTACTTGTCAGTGTAATCATATTTTCGGTATACATTATTAATATTATAGACAGACAGACAGACGTCTCGATCAGATTTCCATTTAACACTTTAAGCAACACTTCCATTTTCATCCGCGGCCAGTTATTGTATCCTATGCTCCTATTATGTACATTTTAATGTTGTGCCTGTATCGGTAAGTTAGGGAACGTAGGATTTTTATGGTTATTATTAGTTTGTAAGTTAATAGCTTGCTATTTTTCATAGATCTGCGTTAGATTCGTTATGTAATGAGTAACGAGAGCCAAACAGAAACCTACTTAATTCTATTTAACGTATTAAACTTCTAATTTAACTAACGCCTCTGTTAGGTCTGTTTTATCTTTTAAAGCACCGACTAGGAGAATTAGAGGATGCAACGAGCGAAATGTTGCACGATCTAGTAACCATGACAATTATTAATAAATCTGAATGTAGGATAAGGAAAAGTATGGAAAAAAAAAACGGAATAGAAATTTTATTGTATTATCTAAAATGCGGAATTATTGGATTATGTGTTTATTTTATATGCAAGCATGTAGGTAGTTTTTATGTAAAATGCAGATATATACATATATATATATAGAAGCTGACATTAATTTAACGCATAAGTTACAAATAATAAAGCTGCCATTATTTTAACAGAACTTTATCGATTTATTTGTCACTTTGTAGATATATGAAGGTACACGAATATTAACATAAATACGTTTTTATGCGTTGCGTTAATGTAATATGTAAATTATAAGCAATAATCTGTTCGTTTAGAATTTAAAAAAATGACCGATAACATTGTACTTAAATAGCTGAAATCGTATTAGTCAGATGTACACACTGATAACATAAATAACGAGCTAGCCTATAATACCAGTTCTCCAACTTAACATATTTATGAATGTACTATAGTAAATTACATCGTACGTTTAATTAGCAAGGAACCCTTCGAAATAAGTATATTCTTCTTTTCTATCGCTACAGTTGTCATATTAATATTTTAACAAGTGGTTTCAACTTGATAACACTCATGTATTATAATCACGCATTAGGCATGCAGATTTATTTTCTGCATTGCCATGTATACATTGTACATAAATGATATTAATACAATTGTTATAAAACGCATTCGTTATTTCCTTTCCCGCGTTAAGCACAGTCAATTTCATTTATGTATTCGATTTATAATTTTTGATTTTCTTCACTGAAAACTTTCAGTTGCACGATAAATTACGTATCTATTAGCCGAGAGATTATAAAACATTGTAGTTATTGGGTTTGTAAAATTTAAATTATAAGAGAATTTCAATAAAATTCGTAATTACTTTTATAAATATGTCTCTCTTTTCGTATGAAAGTACGACTTAACGGTGAATTTTTGATACAACAATATCAATGAAACGAAAACTAGTATAAAAATCGTTCGCTGCAATTTCAATGCCCATAGTGTCCTCTGTAAGAGATAACGCGAACTATAATCGCAAAACGTAGGTTGTTGCGTCAATTACGTAGATATCGATATTAAAGTTTTGTTTCTTTTTGTTTGCTATCGGAATAAATATAGAACGTTTTTATCAGTTAATGTCGTATAAAAACACACGAAAAATTTATTGTAAAAAAAAGTTCGCTTCACGCTCGTTCTAGTAAGTACTTTCGCATAAAATGCATTGTGGATGCACTATAAGCGATCAAATACGTATGCATGAATATCCTGTCGTAATAGCTACAGTATAGTCTGTGGTAAGCATAATTTATTTAGGAGCACATTCTGATCAGGTGCCATTTCTGAAAGCACGTGTATGTGGCTGTTACGACTGGCACCTGCCAGTAAACAGGTGAAAAATTACTTTGACACAATGATGTTCGTACATTTTACCAGTTCACTCTAATACCACCGCGTTAAAAACTTTGACACTCTTACACGTAGAACGCTAAATGAACGCAACACTAACGAACTGATGTAAACGGCCGTGCCGCTTTTCTTGACACGATTTACAGTAATTCAATGAAACGGGGCAGTACGTCGAAAAATACTACGTTTCATGCGTGAAAATGTCCTCGGAGGCTTCTTTGAGCGATATGCCAAATGTCGTGTCGAGACTGCATAATTTACGCTTAGGTCACGAGGACAACGATGAACCTCAACAAAATGTGAATCTTGCCGTATCTGGAGATTCGTGTTTAGAACCTGTACGAAATACCCAACCCATTGGCAATGTTACCCTTTCACGTGCTAGGCGAGCGTTTAATTTCATTTATGTAGATGATCAACCAACTTCTTCAACAGCCAGAAGTGGAGAAGCTTCTTCTTCGAATGGGGACAAGTAAGTAGTTTTAATGAGTTGCATTTAATGTATTGTTTTGAAGATATTAGATTTTAATTGCATAGAGTATATCATTATGTCAAATTGTAATGCTTGTAGAAGGGTTGTCCCTATAATAATTTTATTGATATTCATTTTTTAGTAGGCCTCCAACAAATGCAGCAAATACATTGCATTTGGAGGGAAGACCTTCGAATAATGTTACTTTGGAAGGCACATCTACAAGTAGTCAAACAACAGTAGCACATAATTGGCAGGGTACAAAGGCAACAATGCGTGAAAGAATTGTTTTTCTCTTCAATAATGAAATATTGTCAGATGTGAGCTTCATAGTAGGAAGAGGAGCACAGAAGCAGCGTATACCAGCTCATAAACTAGTCTTATCCTCTGGAAGTGCCGTTTTTGATGCAATGTTTAATGGAACACTTGCAACAGCTTCTTCAGAAATAGAAGTACCTGATGTAGAACCTGCTGCTTTTTTGGCAGTGCTTCTTTTTTTATATACAGATGAAATACAGATAGATCCTGAAACTGTGATGACAACATTGTATACAGCTAAGAAGTATGCAGTCTCTGCTTTAGAGAAGCACTGTGTGGATTATTTGAAGAATAATTTAACCAGTGATAATGCTTTTTTGCTTTTAACACAAGCTCGTCTTTTTGATGAGCCTCAGCTGGCTGCAGTGTGTTTAGATACTATTGATAGATTTACTACAGAAGCATTGAATGCTGATGGATTTACAGATATTGATATTGATACACTAAAAATTGTTTTGGAAAGAGATACCCTTCGTGTTACAGAATCTAAAATATTCCAAGCAGTCCTAAGGTATATGAATATGTATATAATTATTTATTTAGTGCATACTTATGCACTTACTTATTGTATATAAATGCATACTTATTTGTCACTTTAAAATAGATGGTCAGGGGCAGAATGTATAAGGCGTCAATTACCCGTTACTCCCGAAAATCAACGATTAGTTTTGGGTAGTACTTTTTCATTGGTTCGTTTTCCTTTGATGTCGAAAGAAGAATTTACTGCTGGTCCAGCACAATCTGGACTTCTGAATTATTCAGAGGCTAGTATCATAACTATGTAATTGGAGACATGACCTATGTATTTTTATGAAACTATTATTGTAAAGCTATTAATAATAATGTGTTTTTTAGGTTCTTTCTCTATTTTCGTATTTTATATTAAATCCAAAACCAGTGGTAGGATTTCAAACAATGCCACGATCTTGCATGACCGGTAAAGAACAAACTGTATGCAGATTTCAACATACCAAAAGTATATGGGGATATAACGGCACAAGCGATCGTATAAGGTAATTTGCAAAATACAATATAAGTGGTTCCAAAATTGTATTGTTTTGTAATTTAAATTTCTATTTTCAGATTTAGCGTTGACCGACGTATATTTCTTATTGGCTATGGAGTATATGGCAGTATGCATGGCCCAGCAATTTACGAAGTATTGATAGAGTTAATACACAGTGCTTCTGGAAAAGTGATTGCTACAAATTCAACAAGCTTTAGCTGTGATGGTTCAAAGTACACTTATCGCTTAATGTTCAAAGAATTAGCCGAAATATTACCAAATACAATTTACACTGCATCAGCAACATTTAAAGTGTGTATAAAAATGTTCGTTGTTTTCAATTTCTTCACATGTTGAATTTTACTATTGCATTCTAATTATTCTAGGGTCCTTATTCTCATTACGGAACTAAAGGTTTAAAAACAGTAATGGTGGATAGTGATTCAGGAAATGGAAAAGTTAAATTTGAATTTAGTATCGAAGTTGGAGATAATAATGGAACATCTACTGATGAAGGACAAATTCCTGAGCTTATATTTTACACTTAATAACTCATGTACATAATAACGACATTCCTTTTATCAGCTTCATTGTCTTTCAAAACTTATTATATTAAATTGAGTTGTGTAACAAATTTTATATGTCAGTTTCTTTATCAATTATATATATTTTATTACTATTACGTACAATGCTTTAAATAATGAGCATTAACAAATGTTGTAAGGTTTGTTGATATTGCAAGTGAAAAGATAATATTTTATATCTTATATCTAATTGAGGGTGTTGAAAATGAAATTCGTAGGTCTCAAAAGGGCCTTATTGGGAGAAGAGACTGACTCATGCCACTGATGTAAAACTAAAATTGAAGTGAACTGCTTATTTTTTAATTAATTAACTTAATGGTTGATTTCTTCAAATTCAAATAAATCTTAATTTCCTATTAAACTCTGGCATTCAACAGTTAGTTAAGAGTTTTATAGGTAAATGAGTTTTAAATGAGTTTGAAGAAGGTAGCCATATATTGAGCAAGTTACAAATACCACTATTTATGACTAAAGACAATCTATTTTTCTAACTCTTCAAACAATATGTACATGAGTGGTAAATTTATTATATATAGTAGTTACAGCTTTTCTTGAACAAAATAGACGGATCTTCATTATTATTGTTTAAAAGAAGTTTTCCAGACAAATATATGAAATAATGTGAAATTGAACTGCATATTCGTGGTCGTAAACGTTCTGCATGAAATAACAGTATAATACAGTCTAAAATTTATTAAATATTTTTAGAAGAATTAGCAATAAAAAAATCTATAAATTTTAGTAGAAAGCTATGTATTGTCTATATACATATAGGAATTAAATGGAAGCAATATATCGTTATCTTTCTAGTATTATTTAAGTTTGAGAGATGTAATTGTAATACTAAGGAAGTTTAACGCATTTTTTGTTAAAATATTAGCTGTACTGAATCTTCCAAGTTTGTTCTTTGTACTGATTAATTGCGCAAACTAGTCAAACATGATTTATCTATATTTGCACAACAAAGGAAGTACGCGTATCTACGCGATATTTTTGTCCATAATGTGCAGCTAATTATTTATACTTTCATTGTATTACAATATAAGATGATGCACATATTAATATTAAGAAGTTAAATAAACTATTTATTCAATAAAAAATGTATTTTCTTGCAGTGTTTATTTCTGTATTATATTGGTCTTATGTATTTTTAATTTTAAATTATACTTCAATGTTAATTTAGTTTACATTATCGTTACATAATACAAAAAATACTTGTACTAGATAATTATTACTAATTACTAATTCTACTAGATAATTACTTTGTTCGTAAGAATTATTGGAATTAAATAAATGAAAAAATTATTATCAATAATTTTTAAATTATATAATATCTTGTTTTTCGTATACACAAAATTAACATGGCAACTTCGTTCTGATACGCGCAAGTCTGCCAGTGTCATAGCGTCTCACATAGTAATGGTAGTAAGTGATTTGTAGTGTCGGTTAATATTTTTGCCTTATTACTTTAAAATTAATTTCCTATTAACGTTTTTAAACAAGTATTCGTCATGGAATCCTAGTACGCGATTGAATTTCATTAAATGATTAGGTATGCCTGACAGTATTGTTCAAGTCATTGGCGCTTAATTGGAGATTTATTGCTATCAGTCATAACCTAAAATTTACTCAATCTACGTGGTTTACTTACGATTGGAATGTGAAGTACTGTAATTGAAATTTCATAATTATTCATTCGCTTTTTTAGTACAGTGACAAAACGTTCGAGTAATGTTGATTGTGTGTATGTGTTGACGTTATGAGAGTAAATATATTTGACAAGGCTGTAAATATTTCATCCCCATGGCTAAAGGAAAATTGAGGGGTTCAGACTCAAATAATAAGGTACGTTTGCGAAAGAATTTGACATTAGTATAGATATTCGTTACGTTAATAGATTTGTTTTACAATAAATAGTTAACAGCTTCTAATGCAACTTTTAAAAATGGGGAAACATATACATCAGAGTTTGAAATTAATGAAATACCACCTAGTGCCCGCACACTGCTTACAAAGGGTTACATACAAGATGAAATTAATTCTTATTCAGGTATATTTTTTTAGTTTATGGTTTTTTGTTATAAATTTTTTATTCAATATGTTCACTGCATGTAGCACATCTTAAATAACTTTCAGGTGCTACTGTTTCAACACGTGGACGTTTCATGACAGAACAAGAAAAATTACGTTGTCCAAATGAACGTCCTTTATACCTCTACATACAGGGACATACAAAACACAATGTAGACTGTATGTTACTTTTTATTTTTTTTTGTAAACTACTAGTAATTTAGAAATATTTATTTGAGTCCTGTTTTTACAGTGGCTATACAAAAAATTAATGAAATTATTAAAACAGAGCATCAGAGTTCTTTAAATAGGCCAAGTAGGTTTACCAATGCACCACCACCTCTTATGAGTTTACATTCAGGAGTTACATCCGTGGTATGTAATATTATTGTGCAATTAATCATATATTTGAATGTAATCTAAATTTGTCAACGTCAACATTTACATATTCTTTATAGGAAAAAATTTGTGTTGGAATAGAAAATGCTCCTGAAGGGTTTGATTTAAGAGGTAGAATTATAGGTGCAGGTGGAGCAAATTTGTTATATATTAGGGGTGAAACAGGTGCAAATGTAACTTTAAGAGGTAGAGGGTCACAATTCATTGATCCTGTTCTAGGAACTGAATCTCCTGAACCATTACATTTGTATATAGAGTAAGATCATTTATATTTTTTCTTTGTATAATTTTGAATTTATTATGTTGAAATATATTGTATATTTTATTTGTGTAGGCATCCAAAGCCAGAAGCATTGCAAAATGCAAAACAGTTAGCAATCAATTTAATTCAAACAATGCAATCTGAATTACAATCATATATACAGCAACAACCACCACCTGTACAATCACAGCAAGTTATAGAACAGTCTCAAATACAACAAAGTATGAATTAATTATATTTAGTGAATAGTGAATATGATTATATACAGTTTCATTTGTTGTCATTTTCATCTTTTATAGCACAATTTCAAACCATGAATATTGGTACTTTGGGACAGCCTAATGTTGTTACTATACAACATCAAGGTAGAGCACATACACTAATAGTTCATGGCTATGAGAAATTCTGTCTGTAACTGTTGCAAATCATTCTTAACAGATATCATACAACATCCTCAAAGTAATGTAGTAACATTACCAGCAACCATTCTCACTGCTACAGTAACTGGTGCACCAGGGTCTGGTATAACAGTTCCTCCACCTGGAGTACACATTCCTCCCCATTCTGGGCCATTAGTACCACCGCCACAAGCTCAGGTAATATAAATATTGAAGTAGTAATTACTAACCATAGTAGTATCTTTATTATATCTTGGTGGTTTTTTCTTCTTCATAAAGGAAATACAAACTTTTATGCCACCTCCACCAGTTGGACAAGTGCAATTAATTGGTCCTCCATCAACAGTAAGTCAAGTGCAATATCAAATTCATCCTGGGCAACCATTACAAATTCAAGGACTTCAACCTGGATCACAATCATCACCACAACCTGTGGCTCAAATGTATGTTATGAGTCAGCCACCACCACAGAGTCCAGCTCAACAAAACTTTATTACAAGTAGTAGTGCACCAGTTAGTGGTGCAGTTTCTTATGTTTACACACAACCAAATGTGCAAAGGCCTTCTACACCACCGCAAGGAATTATCGAAGCTGTCAACGTAAATTTACAACAGCCACCTCCAGCAACTCCAATTAATCTAACTCAACAGCCGCCGCCACCGTTACTGCATCTTCATTTTCCACCGCCAAACTTTCCTCCAAATCAACCACCACCTCCAGTACCACAGACTTATCAAATACAATATCAGCAAGTGCAGGCACCTGCATCACAATCTCAGACACAGTTTGTGTTACAACCTGGGGAGCATATTGTTCCACCACAGTTACAACAAAATCACGAACAATCTCAGGCTGTGGCTCAGCATATGTTACCTCCACAATTTGAAGGTCATGCTCCTCAGTTTCATTTACAAGTACCTCCTCCGTCTACGCAAACTTTTTTAGTCCCTAATGCTCAATCGCCTCAACATCCTCAACAACATCCTCTTCCTCCTGGAGGTGAAATTCAACATCAACAAGAAGGACCAGTGGATCAAGGTTCTCAGCCTCAACCAGTACCACCTCCACAAATTGTACCACCACCTGCTGCTCAAATGCCGAACTCTATGAACGTTCTTACTAGTATTCCACCGCCGACACAAGCTCCTCCTCCACAAAATGCTCCATGGTTATATCAAGCACAACAACCACAGCAAATGTTGCAATCACAAGGTCAACTGCAGGTGACGTATTAATGCTTATTTACTTTTATTAATTGAAATATACAGTAATAAGCAGATTCAGTTTTAATTCGATAGGTTCAGATGCCACCCGGAAATATACCTCTACATAATGTACCTCCACCGCAAGTTCAAGCACAGATACAGTATCATGCTCAGCACATGCAGTATCAAAATGGCCATATGCCACCTCAAGTACACTATACAGTTCAACCACCACCTCAACAGTTTGAACAAAAGCCTGATTCACCAGAACAGAAGTCTCATGGTGTAAAAAGAAGGTTTTCAGATGTTGAAACAAATCCGGTTAGTTTTTAGTATCTATTGAAACGAGGTATTTATTATTTTACTGTATATTGAAGACTGGAATAACTTTTTTTCCTATAAATTATAGGAAGCATCACCATATCAGTGTGGCCCATTACCTGCTCAACGTCATGGAACAGGGTAAGTAAAATTGTTAAAATCGTTGTTTACTTAGTTCCATGTTTAGTAGAATAGTTATGTTTATATGTATGAAATAAAATTTTCTTGCAATATGCGAGAAAATTAAAATTTATTAGGTGAATAAAGCAGGTTTAATGAATTTTAATTATATTTAAATACATAATTAAAACACAAAATAAACATGCTTATTTATAGTGTCTGATTGATATTAAAACTAAAAGAAACTATTGAAATATGTATAAGTATACGCGTTTAATATTTTCCATTACATAATGTAGTTACTACCAACTGTGATGGAATCTCTTAATTATGAAAACTGCTTAATAATCAATTGCTTAGATATGAAAATTATAAGATTACATATAGTCAGTGTACTTTATATCGTAGTAAGCTTGAACACATGCATTGCAATAAAATCAAATTTTTTTCAGAAACCTGCTTTGATCAAGATGTACCAAACTCAATAAGTAAGCAGGGAACTCTTTAGTTGTTTCTTGCTCACTAGTTTATTACAAAAATTTAAAAAAACATTCGATATTGTAGAGTAAGGAACATCGATTTACTCTTGCAAGCTATTTTTGCAAGATCTGGAAATGAAAATTTTATGTATTCACAATCAAACTATTTTGAAGCACCTGTTTTACTTTTCACAAAGAATGAAATTGGTGTAAATGTCTAAGTAATCAGGATGTTTAAAGTAAATGATTGTGAATATAACTATTTTTTTCACAGAATATTATGTTAAGAAAAAGTATTTACATATTCTTATATTGCATCAAATAAATCTATTTTGTAAATACAGTACTGACAGAATAATATGCCTTCAGTCTTATTTTGTTGTCAGTACAGTTTTTAAATTAACGATTGTATATTATTTTTGCTTTTAATACTAGTCATAAGTTCTCAACTAAAATGATAACCAAGAGAAATAAAATTGAAAAATATACATACTACCTTACAGTATGGTATATAAAACAATCGGATATACTTTTAGTATTATAATATTCTGTGCTGTTAAGTTATAACACAATTAAATACTTTTCACATAAAGTTTGGTATCATTAACTATGACCTGGAAACACCAGGTGCTTTTAACATTTCAGAAATATCCATGGCTGTCCATCAGGTGATATTTGCTTAAGTTTTGAAATGTTTACCTATAATCACATATTGTGAATTAATAATTTGAAACTGAATTGTTTAAGCAGAGAAGGTGATCGGCAGCAGCAAGTCTTACACGGTCCCTCACCAACAGCTGCGGGCCTACCTCATGGAGATCGAAACAAGCTGCTAATGCCACCTCCACATTCAGGTCTGTAACTAAGAGTATTCAAGATGAAAGAGTGCTAGATACCTTTTGAAAATTAACACAGTGTAATACTTAATAAATAATGGTGGTTACGTAAGATATGTTGAATTTATTAATCATATATATCTACTTTTAAGTATATATCTTAATTTCATTGTACAAAGTAACTACAATTAAAAAGTTTTATGTTTATAATTTAATAATATACTTATACTTCGATTTCAGATGGGTATCTAGCATTGTTTCTCAATACTCTTAGCTTGTAGTACATTATTTACTGTAAATATATTTTTGCTAAACAGTACGAATTTCTCTTTACTCTTAATCCGTACGTCTTAGCGAGTTGTTAAAATTTAGAATTAACAAAATTTTCGCTACATTATATTACATAATTAAAATAGTTAACTTAAGCATCCTAATTTTAATGCTTCTTCGTATATTTTTTATTAAAGTATATGTGTTTTCAGATCTCTATGCATAAGTGATTTTACATTTCAGTGATTACTTTTAACCAGCATTACCTATAATTATTATCGTTCGTGTTATGTTGAAATGCATTATATCTTTTAATATGAGTATTTTAAGTTTCACAAGTTCAAATACCAAGGATATGTATCTTTGGATCACGTTTCTGAAGCCGAGCATGCGAATACATGGAGTAGCAACATATATTGTCATATTGACATTAATAATACTCAGTTTATAAATATTTTTGTACCTCTTCCTATATGTAAAAGGTTTGCAGAATCAGAATGTTGGAATATGCCGAACAGCTATATATAATTAATTGTATTGTTTATTTTGCAGTGAATCCTGTAACAACTTCAAGGATGATTTTAACCAGAAACTTGGATTTTATACATGTAAATAAATTTTTAATAACAAATTTTATTTTACAGATCACGAACGAAACGAACAATGTACATTAAGAAGATGATACGGTAATCGTGACACCTTCTCGAGTGCCATGGACTTATTTCTTATGTTTTCAGATGCATTTAGCGTCATAATCAGTATTTCCTTTTTAGTTAGAAATGGTCAATGGCGTGAAATATTGTTATTCTCCTGTGTTATTCTAGTTTTATCAAGTAAACATTACCAAGTAAAATACTTTGGAAATTTTCTTTTATCGCACAGTGTTGCCTTTAGTAGAAAAATAATTAATCGGAATTTCCAATAAAATTTTGAATTAAGCAATGGAGAATTGACTTTCTAGATGAAATATAAGTAATACAATATTTCGTCACGTTATTTGCCATATTTAATTGTACAATATATTTTATGTATAGCTGTTCCATATCATTCTGTATACTTTATTTCATTTCATGAATTTCAATTATTTAGGTGAAAAACGCAGCTTGGACCCAAAAACTGCAGGCATAAGTTCAGGTACATTGAACATTTGTTACTTGGTACATTTACTTTTATATTTTTTATAAACTGAGAAACAGAGTTCATTGTGTTCTTGTATTTATGTAACAGGAAATGAGCAGAATCCAATAGGAGATTCAGTGAACATGCATCCTGGAGGTGGTCCACCTCTGCCTCCTCCTCTTCCGCCACAAGCACCATGGCAAACTCACCATATTAGAGTACCATGGGGCAGACCACCACCAATGCCAAGAGATGGAGAACATCAAGGAGTGTGTCCTACACTACCTCCAACTAACATGCCACCACCTCAAATTAGACCCAGAGGTATTCATAGTGAACGACGACAGTTTCGATAATTGTTTAGGTGCTATGTGTATAAAAATACAAACCAAATGATTATGACGTGAACATTTAATATTGAACACATAAATATTTATAATAAATATCGAAGAACGTCTTTCAACTTTGCATTTGGGTTGGTGGGGTTTCCAAGTGAAGTGTTCATCGATTCGAACTATTAAAAATAATCATTTGTCTTCCAATTCATTTGAAACAATTGTTCATTAACTTGCAACTCTGTTCAAGTTTTTAATTATCATATTCTATTTTAGATTTGGGTGTGTATTATAATGATCGAATGTTTCCGTGATTATTCAGGACACATTGAAGGTAATCGTTCGCCCGTACAAAATGCGATATTGGAGCATCCGTTGAATGTCGAGTATAATCAAATGCCACCGTATACGACAAAACCTCCCCCTTACAATTCACACCCATTGATGCAATCCATTTGCAATCCACCGCCACCACCACCGCCACATCATCAGCAGCGACCACAGCATCCTCCTCAAACAGTGCAGCATTATCAGGTGCCAATTTCTCAGACATATCAGCCACCGACTTCCTGTCCACCGTGGATGAATTAAATATGTACGATGATACGATGTGAACGGAGTTCTTACGCTAGTACCTTAAAGATGGCTGATGCAGTCCGTCCGATTTTCGCGCCGTTTAATCAAATCCACTTATTGCGAATGCTGTTGATTCACAAAAGGGCATGACAAACGTAAATGGATGGCATTGCATTACGTTATCTTCGTCGAATTGTTCCTCACGATAGTTAATTATTATTTAATTATTCGTTGCGAACATGTTGCTGCAAAGATGTTGTTCTGTAAAGAAACAAAAAAATCGAAAAAAAAATGTGCATATGTTACAAATTATTTATAGCAAACGTCTGTAAGGCTTAGGTAGCGAAGGATAGTAACGAATTTATAAATACTGCGGTTCTGAAACGTTGAAATCGTGCGAATTACGGTTTGTGACAGAAGACTATATGTGTCGGTGCGATGTGGGTGCATCTAATGAGAAATAATTCTGATTAGTTCCAACAAATGCTTTTACGATTCACACACACACATACATACATACACACTCCAGGACCTAGGAGTATAATTTTTTGTATCCATAGTACGTAATTAATCCTTTCCCGAACTTATCGTACGATATCTATTTCCCCATTTTTGTTGTCGACATACTCTATACGTACCGTATGATATCTACTTATAGACAATATACATACGGTGTACGTAAGTTTGTATACAAACGTGAATAAATCGTTGCCTACGATCATAATAGGCGTTGATATCAAAATCGCGGATTGCCATTCCGCATGAAAAGTTTGCCACGCTCATTTATTCGTGGAATTGGTTCCATTGGAAGTGGTTCAGCGAGATGTGTAAATAATCGCCGTTTAAAAAAAATGTGTGAATTAAATAATCGCCGTTTAAAAAAAATCTGTGAATTAAATAATCGCCGTTAAATGTTAGGTGCCGACGTTTCTTCGCTTGACATAATTAATTAACTTCTAACGAGATGTAACACCATTGGTTTATTTAATACAACTTTTTGTACAATCCGTTAATGTAAACGAGGTCTGACTCCGTTTCTGGTTCAGTTCAGACTCGTAAATCTTACAAGTCTTCTTGTCTCCTTTCAAGTCTCCTTTCGATGTTTCTTGAGAGCATCTTTCTTCAATTTCTTCTTTAACTTGTTTCTTCAAATTCTTCTCGTTGAGGAAAAGGAACTCGACACTCGTTCTTCACGTTGCATACGATAAATTACATCGTTGATTTTCACACGACCCTTTGTGGTACTCTGAAGCCCACCAGATACATATCGCAACTTACATCACTGGTCTAGATGACCAACAGTGTCCCAAAACTGATCAATCCATATCTAACTCGCATCCAAAAGGTCCCTCTGTTTTTATTGTACTACGATTGCATTACTATCTCCGTAGGTCCTCTGGTCATACCGATGTGGTCTCTCCCTACTTTCACGCCGTGTGAAACGCGGTTTATCATACGCTAAGTCATCCACCGTGATCTTAGTTGCATCAAAATGTATTTCGACCATGTTTTACCCACAAAATGACGCCCCATGGCGTTTTAACGGCGATTATTTAATTTACACATTTCACGATTTTTTGCGAGCACCGTGAATAATCTCATGGTCTACTGGTGCTCGTTTTAAAATCAAGAACAATTCGGTCCTTATCCACCGAAGTCATCGATTTACGAGTCTGAACTGAACCGGAAACGGAGTCAGCCTTCACAATATGTTTCCATATCAGATTGCACAAAGAGTTGTATTAAATAAACCAACAGTGTAGCGTCTCGTTAGAAGTTAATTAATTATGTCAAGCGAGGAAGCGCTGGTACTATATCTTCGAATTGACCATCTAATCGAACAGGGTCGGTAATCATCCCCTGACTTCATACACATTTTCACGAAGCGACGATTCTCGATACAGTATGATATTTTAACGTTACAATGAAACAGCATCCAGCTCGAATCCGTTGAATTTCGACTGATGTATGGAATCTTCAGTCCTCGGTTAACGTCGTTATTTTTATGATTTAGTTATAGAAATATATTTTCCGATAAAACGTAATTTTTTCAATAAATTAATTTAATCACAATTAACATTGTCGTCGTTGATAATACTTCTTTTACTGTCGTTTCTAAGTTTGACGTTCTCGAGGAGCGAAATTTTTATTTGCCCATTTCACCGTGATTTAGTAGCAAATAGGAGAGCAACGTTGCTCGCGTAATTGTACAGTTGCGCGATGTCCTTTATAGCCGTATCAGTCGGTAGAGCTGACAAGCTACTTCTATCTAGAACGAGTGATCATACCAGTGGGAATTGTAGTCTGTATAAGATCCCCTGCTGGCGTGTACATTGACCTATGAACACGATTATTTGAGGATCTGCCATCGCATAATTCACGAAAACCATTTGGGACAGGATTTTGTTCATCGAGCAAGCTCGTTGGAACATTTACAAGAAACGAAGTTGTTCGTTCTGTAAATTTAGAGTGAATATCAGTGTATATGGTCGTTGTATTCAATTACATTTTTACGGTTGACATAACAACCTAATCGAATTACAAGAGTAACGAAGCTATATCGTTGAATGATATTAAATTGTCAATTTTTCCAATCATCAGATGGAGTTTAATTAAGTTTTACCGAGGTCAGATAACATTCTCTCCGGTTACTTCAGCATTAATTAAAATTCTAATAACAGAAAACGACGTGTTACTGTTAATTATCGATCACAATATTCGTTCTTATTACATATCCTCCAGGATATTTTTGAGGGGGGGGGATCAAGGTTTGTGCAGTCACCTAGACATTTTTTTGCAAATTTAAAAATGATATTAAGTAGGAATTTAATTTTTCTTCGTGACAATTCACATTTACCTTAATGGTGTTCTCAATTGAATTTAATTCCTTGGTAAAGGAAATTAGCAGTGAGATTATTGAAGGATCGATATTTGTATTTGTCGTTATACATTCTGGTAAAATATACAATTATGAAAGCTTATTGCTGATCGAAAATACACGTTTATTTCACGTATCGATCTCAGCCGGTGGACATCGTTAAAACAGCTGTTTTTGCTACCAATCGGCCATCGTTCTAATTAAAGTCGTTAAACGTTCCAACACGGTATCTGCGGTGATCGAATATTGGCTTAGGTTTTCATGCCGGGCGATATTCTGTTTTAATACAAATCCGATGAAGTCGTACGCTGGTGGGATTGTCTGCCGTTGTACATGGTGAACGGTGTGTGTTAAGGCCATAACAGAATCGCTGGCACGGTGAAATTTAAACACACTTTATCGAAGTAATTTACTTCCAAAATTCAATATTCAACGTCTGAAATTAGCTTTAAAATTTTGAGTAATATTGATCATTAAGAAAGAATATTAATTTCGACAATTAATTATAACACGTTAAATTTTAATTTTTAATCCAAAGAAGAGTTAAATTTTAATTTTGAATCTGAAGGA